CTGTTTCTCTGTTAAACTTCCTGTTTTATAACAATATCGTCCTCTGATTAAAATCTAACAGGTAAACAACTTTATCTAGTTTTCTAACTTCCTGTGAATTGGCAGCTGAGGCTGAGAGATGAAGGACGTCATCACGTACCCGACGTTTAAAGAAAGCCCAACATTGTTTTGGTTGAGAATACATCCCTCTAATACTGATAGTGATACTTTAATTTTGCCACAGCTCGCTGTTTCTTCACGTATTTTTTGTGTCATTTATTTAGTGACGATCACAGATACGAGAAATTCAGAGCTTTCTGTCAGACGTCGCAGCGCAGACTTCTTGTGGGCTGACTACTAACTATTCCAGAAAAATCCTGCATGGCGTTGTTGAAAAGATTGCTTTGCCTAACAAAGTCACAGAGGAACTGCCTGATAATCGTGACGTTACCTGAAAGAACTGTTTTACTCTCCTCGGCTTCTCCATTAGTTGCCGTGGCACGAATGAAAACGACTAACTGTACGCTTCAGACGGATTCAAATGCGTCTTTCTGTTAACGCTCGTGAAAGTGCCCACACACCCAAACAGACTGACTAATATAAAAACCAAAACGGTAAATGAGTCAGCGGCTGTTACAAAGTGATCCATGTGCAGCGCTGACCTCCGCTAATGTAAAGTTTATTACCGAGTGCAGTTAACACTCAGTTAGGACAACATGTAGTTAACCTGTAAAGGAGAATTATGAATGTGTTGTAAGAATAATGTGCCACCTTAGCCTCTGCTTTTAAGGCTGTGCAACCACGGAGCACATGCGGGAATTAGATCACACACACGTAGACGACACGGAAGCAGCCTCCGTGACAGATGTGGGCACTACCTGCTCTTTTTTCCCGGCCTTTCTATGGCGTCCTCATTAAATCATGACTTACTATAACGCACAACTTTGCCTCCTGAATTAATGGACGGGCAAACTAAATGGGAACAACCTGAGTCTGATTACCTCTTGTGACACTTTGCCGTTCAGCGCAGTAAATATAACAGTTAATATTTAAGACACCCGCTGAGATTTGTTTTATTTTCTCTATAACGTTTTTTTTCGCATACACCAACCATCTCATCTGTGAGTAATGTAGACGTGATGTAATGGTTTCCGTGGTCGCTGGGGAAACGATCCTTGAAATTGCAAAAAAGTCCAAAATGAGAGGAGTGCAGCCATAAATACTGGAGCGGAGAGCCATACGTTAGAGGAACACGTGCGTCCGTGTGACAGAGTATGAGTTTTGTGCGCCGTGTGTGTGTTTTTGTGCGTGTTGTCGTCCTCCCGGAGTGTGTTTGCGTGCGAGCATTCGTGCACCTTTAAATGTGAAGCTACACCTATAAATACGGTTATGGCTCATCATAATTTTTACCGCGCTGCATGCACACCAGAAAACTCATTACGTTTGAATCAAAATGTCCTTTTTATACAGGGAAACAGATTTACTGTAAATTGGTTTATTGAAATAGCATTTCAGCTATATTATGTTTCTTTGTGAATAAGGCAGGCAGAGTATCGGAGGTGTTTTAGAAGCTATACGAGCTGAAAAGGTAAGTAGGCTTCACCGAGTGCAGAAAACAAACTGGAAGGAAGAGGTTTAGCCTTGGTTTACCAGCGTATGAATATGTATTTGGGGACTGAACACTTCCGTTCGTTGCCAGTGAATTTTACTCTGCTGGTGTTTTGATACTAATCTGCTTATTTAGTCTCTGCCTGCAAGTTTGAACCGAGATTGCGGCGTTGATTATTCTTATTACCGAGGGTCCTTTTATGACGTGCGTTTATGTGTGCTGTTGGAAATGATGCAGGGATAAAAGACTGGATATAAAGCCATTGTGTCGACATTTAAGCGTCAGTTATATCATATTTTTTTTAGGATATTAGGATTCCTGACTGTAAGAAACCTGTTATGTTGTGAACTGAGAAAAGAAGGACAAGCTTCATATAACTGGGGGTTAAATTACACCCTAACCCTGTCACCCAGGTGTCATGTAGGCTGCAGGGAGTAATGTTGGCTATAAAATTACACAATCTTTCTCATCCTTTAGGAACTATTTCAGTTTTCTTTGTAGCCCAAAATGGTTGAGGAGTTAATGTGAAGCGCACATGGGAACATCTTTGTCTGTGTTCACAGTACGCTATGAATGCTTTATGCTGCCATGATACACCAAATATCCTGGTACACTGCTTATAAAGCTTATCTACTGCAAAAGCATTAAAATTACATAAAATAGTGCCGACTGATGATTTCAGTACAGCTTAAGAGTCAAAGGCAGTCTTTCTGTGGTGAACTCATTGCTGCCGGCAGGGGCAACACCAAAGTGACTCCATGAATTTCTTTTTATTGTTCATTTCCATTGAGTTACCGGTTCTGTCAGTAGTTAGCGAAC